GCTAACTAAATGGTAGTGTTGAGAAGCGAACAACAATGGGGGAGAAGCACCACCACCTAAGAACTTTTGAAATGACCTTTTGATACCCAGTTCTCAATTTGCAGAAGGGTGAAGCTTCTTAGCAGCATTATCCTTGTGTTGTTGACCAAGCCTCATGATTTCTAATGCTAGAAAGATTCGATATATGTAGATTTTGCAGCATTTGTCACCCTTGCAAACCTAATATTGCAAATAGAGAAAGAGAAAGGGAACTGTTATTAGCACTCCAAAAATTTTATTCTACACTCCTCACAAGTGTTGTTTCTTTCTAATTATAGGAAGTTTGGAGTGCCAAATGAGATTTTTGGAGAGTGCTAATAACAATTCTCAAGAGAAAAACTAATAAGGTAGGATAATATACGAAAATGAGTGAGAGTCAGCAAAAGGGAAAACCAATAAGCATCAAAGCGAATTGTATGGGCCCATGATTTTCTAGACCCAAGACATGTGGTATCTTTGGTGACAAGAAAGACCTGAATGCCTATAACACATGATATTTAGATGAATGAGCTAATAGGCTTGATGTGGATCGAAACATGTTACTTTATAGTCAGAGAGGACTAGCCTTAGTCAAATCCAAGTAGCCTTAGTCAGATTCGAAGTAGCCCTAATTAGATTCAGACTAGCCTTAGTTAGACTCGGACTAGCCTTAGTCAAACAAAGTTAGAATACCAAGTGAAGTCAGACAGACTAGGCCTAAGCTTAAAGATATTACTTGTCTCAGTACTACAAAACTATCCATTACTGGCATAAATAAAAACAACAAGAAAAGCTAATTAATGTCAGATATTAGGTAAAACCTTACAGGAAATTATTGCAATGGCCAAAAATTGAATCAACAAGAATGCCTGCGTCAGGAAAAGGCAACATAATTAAGATTCTAGGGATTAGACAACATAATTAAGATTCCAGAAAGATTTGGTAGCTTATCCTAGACTTCCTCCTAGATAGTCTCCTGATTTGATGAAGATTACTTCCCTACAAGGACTCTTAAGATCCATATAAATACACTAGCCTAAGTATTTATCAGGAGACAGTCACTTTATTCTTTACAAGGCTACCATAGACAAACACATCTCCCTTTACCCATGTTCTCAGACATATACACACTTAATCTATACATACCTAACATAGGCCCTTTCGCCTCCTTCTATGTGTAGACACGTCTATGGAGAACTCATCTCTTGGAGCCTTGCCATAGGCTATTCGTCAAGGATGGTTTACACCATTCTTCCTTAGAACTACACCGTGGTTTGATTCTCCATTCCAGAGATATGTAGGAAGTCCTTTCCATATTCATAGACAATTCCAACTTGGTTCTCACCTCTGTCTACGGATGCGCGTGAATTTGGTTCCAACAATTGGTGCTTTCATTGAGAGTGAATTCATATTCCCCCGTACAAATCACTTTATCGACGTGCGAATCTACCTTGGGCTAAAAGTGATCAAATGGAGGACTTTTGGAGTAATTTTAGTTGGACTGGAATTGTGAGTCTTACAAGATAATCGATTCAAAATTTCATAGTTTAATTCCAAGCCGTTTGATCGTGGCGAAAAAAAGAAGGCCCACCATGCAACTTTTCTAGATGTTTTGAGTATTTTGAAGATCAAGATAGCATATTTCTTGGGAGGTTTCTTATGAAGATTTGTTGAGGACGTGTTAAGCTTTAAAAGTAGACCATTTTGGACCAAATCAGAGTTGATTTGATGGTAAAAATCCTATCCATGAGCCAAAATAAAAACAAGGATGACAGTCACATTAAAGAATCACGAACCTTGGCTCCATATGATGTGAGGAAGAGTCTTTATCACAAGGCCTGGGCCCAGATTTTCCAAAAGACACCAAAAGTAAGGATTTCTAATACCTTTCTTTATTTTGTTTAGTATCTTATCTGACTATTTGATATCATTTTTTGAAAGGGGATATGTGCTGATTGCACATCCTTTCTTTCTTTAAGATCCTGTGACGTTTGACTAACTTAGTCCAACACAATCTCGTGTAGCCAATAACTCTGACAACAACACAACCTCTCTGACGAGCATGACAGTCGCAAGTTGGGAAGACGTACACTGGGGGCAAGTCACCCCTGGAAAAAAAAAATATAAAAGTTCAACTTTGGAACTTCATGTGGTTTAACACTTCACCTCAAATTCAATTCGTAGTCCTCTCGCCTGAAGTCTATTGCAACTCAGTTCGAGCCCATCAGACACTTCGACTAAGGCAACTGCTCTCACAAAAGCTTTGGGGGTGTAATCATGCCTGAAACCCATCTTGCGCACTTGAGTGATTTGCAACAAAAAACTGACTTTCCAGATGAATTTTGACTCAAGGCCAATTGGAAATGGAATCTAAGATGCCCAAGATCGATGTGCCTAAGTTTCAGAATTATCTACAAAGCTAGTTTTTCTAGTCATGTGTACGAAGATAGTCAAAGCAGCATTCCCATCAAAACTACGCAACCACGAAAAAACGAAGTTTTTAAGGCCTTCCCGATTTTTCTCCATGACAAGTCACATATGCTTGGAAAGATAAGAAGTAGAGTTACAAGATTCTTATTTTTCTAGAATTTTCCAGAAGAAAGAACGGTCTCAAATCTGGCACACAAAGCAGTTGAACTGCAAACCAGCGCAAGCAGCACATCACAACAGCACTAGCAATTTCCCAGATTAAACTGTACCTATTTGGAGCAAATTGGGTTTCATGCCATATCATCACGAAGATATGGAAGTCAGCTTTCTGTAAAAAATTTCAAAACTCAATTCCAAGTTAGCGCAGGCTGGAATTTTCTACGGAATTCTTTGAGTTCTCCCTTCGAATTGATATCAAACGATGTACGAGTTTAGGATGCACAAAGTCATGATCAAGCTAACGGTTAATCTAAGAGTTCCACCCAATTCAAGCCCACTCCAATGAGTCAAAACCAAAGGCCATCGGCAAAGCATTGCATGACAACTCCAGATCCGCAACCTTTTAACTTATAAAAACCATGCCCTTTCCATACTAAAAACCGTAGCAACCTTCACAAACAATTCTAGCCGTGCAAAACCGTTCTAGAAGCCATTACCTCATCCATTCATCAGTTCCTGTGAAGTTATAGAAGTTCTTCGTTTCTATCCTTGTTACTTGTTTCAATTTTTTTTATCATTTTCTTTTCTCAACATTGTAATGAAGTTATTTTTAGCTAAAGGTGAATTCAAAGCCACGAACATATGTTTTATATTAATTGATTACACCCAATTGGTGTTTCATAAAATGCGAATGTAATTTACTTATCCAGTTTATAGAGAACTTATTCTTGTATGTTCATTGGGTCCATACTTAGTTTGCGTGCATGGATTTGGAGCTAGAATACAAGTGAAGTTCACCTAATCGTTATGAACTTGTATTCATAAGTAGTAAAGTGAACGTTGATTAAATTAAGTCAAATCTTTTGCAAGAGTATCTTGTTGTTCATAGTTACAATTGCTTTGTCAAAACTTATAATTTTCACATTATTGATCTTTGAATATGTATTGCTATCATGTTGTTCATAGTTAGAAAACTTGAGAATAACGATTTGCGTTGTGCGACGCTTTGTCCGATTCAATGAGCTTAAGAAAATATAAGAGTAAAATAGTGATGTTCACGGTTAATTTTGGGCATTGTCATTCACGGTTTACAACTAGAAATCAATTTGTGTGCATATGTTTCATGAGTGGAGAAGAATCCATTAGCAAGCCTTTATCCATAAATCCTTCTCATATTTTAATTCAGTGTTCCTATTTACGTTATTTATTGGTTAATTTCAATTTTCAGTTTACCTTAATTCAATTCATTCAAACACCACCCCCCCCCCCCCAAAAAAAAAATTAGTTGTTCCTCTTTTTTTTTTTTCTTTTTTTTTTTTTTTTTTTTTGTTGAATTAGTTTTTAGTTTCAGTTGATTAGTAGCCCTTCTAATTGTCGTAATTAGGGGTGGTATTGGTACGATTACCATACCAAAACCCATGTAACATACCAAACTTTTGGTATGACAAAATCTATTACCATTACCGTGCCAAACTTTCGGTATACCAAATTTTGGCATGCCAAGTAATTCGGTTGTCATGGTATAGTAATTGTAATTACTACTTTGTTTTAGGCCAAAATTTGATTTTTTTCTTTCAACCCAATTCAAGGCCCAAACGTGTTTTGACCACTCTCTTTGGGTTTCTAAAACTTTTTTATTTAATTATGAGAGATTCATTGGAGAAACAAGAAGTAAATAGATGGAAGAATTGATGAAAGAACCCAACATCCCTAAAAAAAAATAGTACAAAGATTCCTAAATTCCATCTCTACATTTTTTAAAATTGTACAAAAATTAACTTGATAGACGAAGCCATGGAGAAAGACATCCCAATTTGATGAAGGAGAAGATAAGATTGATTGCGAAGAGAGAGAGAGTTGCCCGAATGGGAGCAACATAGATGAAGCCAATGGCTAGATGAGTGAAAAGATGAAGAGTTGCAGCATAAGAAGGCTTAGGTTTTTTTAATGGGAAAGTAGAGGTTATAGGGTGAGATGATTGGATAAATGACTAGGAAAAAAATATAAAATGCATATATAATGATAATAATACCTAAGTATATATATAAATGAATAAATAAATGATATAATATTAATAGTAGTGGTACAGTACAATATACTACTGGTAATGGTTTTGAATACCATTACCGTACCGAAAATGTATGGTACGGTACAAATACCCTACCATTACCAATGGTACAAATTTTTTGGCACAACTTTAGTATGATACGGTTGGTAATTTGGTTAGTATGGTAATTTGGCAAAAAATTCCACCTCTAACCGTAATAGAACAATTCCTACTTACTCGTTCTATGATTACATAATTCGCAGGATTTAATTTGAGTGTTAGTTTCTAGCATATCACTCTTATATTCGATGCTTTGAATTCAATTTCCCTCTTATCCCAATATCGCTTGTATCAAATATATAGATATTCTTTTTCTTTCATTTGCTATTAATTTGAAATTTTAGATACAGATGCCGCAAAAATTGGATTAATCTCCATAAAAACGCACACAACAAAAACAAGTGATGTTATTTTGGCTGAAAGTACTTCATGCTCCAAGGGACCCCAATTCTTCAAGTAGAGAAGTTAAATCCGAGAAGGACGAACCACCTTCCTTAACAGCCCTCGTTGCCATCTCTCTAAGTACGCTGGCTCTGGCTCTCATTCCCTCTGCTTCTTCACTCACCATGACTTGATTTATAGCCTTTTCTATGGCTTCCCTCTTCACACTGGCTTCCTTCTTCACATCTACAAATGTACTCCATTGTTTAACACCAACAGCAACCCCAGTTCTCAGTACCAGAGTCACCAACTTCTCATTGTAAAACTGCTCAGCCGACACAGGCCATGTGATCATTGGTACCCCGGCAGACACTCCTTCAAGGATAGAGTTCCACCCACAATGCGTCACAAAGCCTCCGATTGCTTCATGCTCAAGAATCGGCACTTGTGGAGCCCAACCTCTTATAATTAGTCCTTTACCTTCCATTCTCTTCTCAAATCCTTGAGGAAGCCACTCTTCTTTATCATTCTTTTCTCTCTTCACAACCCAAATGAATCCCTGCCCAGAAGCCTCAAGCCCCGCTGCAATTTCTAGGAGCTGAGAGTCAATGAAATTGGTCATACTTCCAAAACATATGTAAACAACTGAATTTGGTTTCTTAGAATTAATCCAATTCAAGGACTTGTGCTGATCAAGGGAAGCTTCGTCATCTGCTGCCTTATTCCATGACGAAATCGGGCCTATATGCCATGCCTTCCTCCCAAACGCTGTCCTGTAATGATCTGCAAAAGCCGGTTCAAGTTCATAAAAGCTATTAACAATAAACCCAAAGCTCTTTTCCTCACACTCTCTCGCAGCTTTAAACAACTTGGTGAATTCGGTTTCAGCATTTTGCTTGATAAAGGCCGGTATTTGGCTACTTATCAGCTTGATCTCAACTGGAAAATTAGGAATAGTAAAAACTTCTGAATCCGATGACAGCTTCAAGTGAGGCTCGTACAACAGCACACTAAGAGTAGCACACAGAGCGAAAAAACCAACACCATGAAATACGATCCTTGGAATACCAAACTTGGCGGCAAGATCTGTTGCCCAAGGAAAGAAAGCGTCTGCAACGAGGCAATGAGGGCGGTGTTCGTCTAAAATCTGCTCAATTTGTGGTTGAAGAAGGAAGGTGGCTTTGAAGAACTTTTCCTTCATCTCAGTGGTGGTAGCTAAGTTACCACTTTCACATCCTTGAGGCAACCCTACCTCCTCAGTTGGGAACTTAATGACAAGAATTTCAATATCAAATCCCAATTGCTTGGTGCTTTGGATTGCTTTGGAAAAGAGAGGTGCATTGAGAGGGGTGGTCATTAGGGTGGATTTTACACCATGAGAAGCAAATAGTTTGGCCATGTTTATAAGGGGTATGGTGTGCCCTTGAGCCATATATGGGAAGAAGAAAATGTGAAGCTGCTTATGGGATTTAGTTTCCATGGGGACTTGACAGAATGCACAAAGCAGCTCAAACAATAGATGGTGATGAAGAGAGTTGATACTAAACAATGAGCTGAAAGATACAATATATTACTTTGCGACTTGGGATTTGAGGACGACTTCTTTTTAAAAAAGGTCATGTCCTGGCAAAGTCGTTATCTTTGAATATATCAACGCTTTGACGTTTTGAACCATATGGTCTTTGTTACCTCATCGCATACGTAGATCATTTTGTCCACATTATAAAAGAAAATAGAGAAAAGACAAAATTGAATCGTTTCTTCTTATGTTTGGACTAGAGTTTGAATTCTTTACCAAGGTACGTGATTGAAATCGTAAATAACAAAGCATGAAAATCGACTAACAATAAACAAGGTTCTAAAAGACGCTACGAGCTAATCGGGTGGTGGGCTAGGGCCCAGTGGCTAGATGGCTAGGCAGAACCTAGACGGATTTAAGTAAATTTGTTATATTTTGTGTAAATAAGTGTTTGTTTATGCTTAAAATATATATAATTACATCATAAATTACAAAATAAAATAACATATATATTATGAAGTATTGAAACATAATGAAAACATGAGGAACAAGCATATAATGTGTGCTCATTTAAGTATTCAACAAATCTCTTACAATTTATTAAAAAAATAATGCAAGTGAGTTGCAACCTAGGTGGATGTCTAGACAAGTCTTGGTAGCCTGGGTGGGTGCCTAAGTGGTCTAGGTGGACGCTTCAACAGGTCTAGACGCCCTTTTGAGATTTTCAAGCGCCTAGACATTAATCAGGACGATGACTAACCGCCTAGCACCTAGGCGGGGTCTACGTGGCGCTAGGCGAAGATTTTTAGAATAGTGACAATAAATAAATAAATAAGACTTGGTCCAAGATTTGACAAAGTTGAATGGGTAGTGTGGGACCACAATTTTCTGGACCCATGATTAAAGGCATGAAGGACTAGGGTAATCGAAGCTAGACCTGATAATTTTTTATACGATCCGTTAACATGATACGTAAACGACACAAAAATAACATGTTTCAGGTCGACATGTTAATTAATCAAGTCGTTATCGGGTCACACGATAAGAACCCGCTAATAACGGGTCTTTAATAGGTTTACACAAGGATGACATGCAGGTAACCCGTTTTGACACGTTAAGAAAAATGTTATTTTGATGATTTAATTTTTAAACTAATAAAAAAACTTACTATAAAATACAAAAGTCATAGTATATACTAGAAATTATGCCCACGCGTTGCTACAGGATTAGAAATTGTATAGATAATCATGTTTTAAAAAACTACCAACGTTGAATCTAGTATAATGAGTAAATGTCTAGCCTTACAACAGTGTTTAAATTTGAAACGATAAATGTATTCCTAAATTTGTAGAAGTGTTTAAATTGTCAGTAATAGATTTAGAACTTAGGTTTCAAAGTGTACAATAACATTGATTAATTTAAACAGAACTACCTCTGCAAAGTGAACGATTGTATTTAGTCTAGAAATATCCTTGTTTTGTTTGTTTACAAAGGTAATTTGCTGCAAAAAATTGAAAGCGAGTACTTTTCAATTTTGGAATCCCACAACGTTAGTAGATTAAAGAAAGTGTTTCTCCAATTGTATTCAAAACCACTAAACCGCGCCATGACATCACTTGGCTGGAAAAAAAAAGAAATTTGTTTGAACAATTAGGAACAATACAATTGTAAATCTTCTATATATAAAGCCAATGGAAAAGTGAATAGTGATTTTGATGCCACCAAGCTTCAACAAAAATGTTTGGACAAAATTGCCCCCAAAACAAAAAAAGTTTCAAAGGCATCCCAAAATAATGCATCAAATAAGACAAAGGCATTTTCATTATTTTAATAGTATTTTTTTAATGATAAATTTTTTGGTGCTTTTTATTTTTAATTTTTATAATTAGTACCTCACAATAGGCTAGCAATAATGTGATTCAATTTCTCTATTTTTATACATGTTTAAAACATCTTAAGAGGCGCATGGCCGATTATAAAAAAAATATTTCGCACGCGGATAATAATGTAATTAAATAAGGAGAATTGTTATTAACACTTCAAAAATCTCATTTGGCGCTCCAAACTTTTTATAATTAGAAAGAAAAATACTCTTGTGAATAGTGTAGAATGAGATTTTTAGAGTGCTAATAACAGTTCCCTTAAATAAGTTGTCAAATGATTTTTTTTTTTTTTTAAACAAACGATATTATCTACACTAAAGAGAAGAGGGTGGGCTTAACCTTATAATGTGATTCAATCAATTGTTTATTAAATATTATTTTTTCTATTTTTAAACACGTTCAAAACATCTTAATAGGCATGTAATGCCAGTTATAAAAAAAACTTTCACATGTGAATAATAATATGATTAAATTAATTATCAAATGATTGTTTTTTATTTTAAATAAACGATATTATCTATACTAAGAGAGAGG